AAGCTTTTTGTTAAAAACCAAGTCCAAGGGTGTTTGAGACCTTAGCCTTTTTTCTTTTTCTTTTTTTTGCAAGGCCAATTAAGGCTGAAAATTAATTGAGTCAAATTGAATAGTAAATTATTCAAATTTGATTTGATAATTTAATAATTTTAAAATTATATTTAAACTTAGCTTATTTATTTAATGAATCGAGCTCAAACAAACTTTTAATAAGTAGGGATGGTCATTTTCTCCTGCCCCGCCCCGTTTCACCCAAACCCCTTCCCGATTATATTTATTAAATATATTTATATATATAATATAATATATAATATATTTATTTTTCATTATAATAAAGTTAAAATACTATAATTAATATTCATTTATTTTCTATCTTATATAATATAATTCTCATTAAGTATAAATTATTATTCGTAATATATTATATTATCTATAAGTATTATTAATATTTTATTTTTTAACTTACAAAATTAATCCGCCTCCTGCCCTGCACCCGCCCTACTTCTGTCACCCCTCGATGTGCCCGTTCCAAACCCAACCTGTGACCATCCCAATATCGGCCTATAAATGGATCGGATTCGGATCGGATCTGTCAAAATCCGAATCCGATCCGAATCCGTTTAACCCATATCCAATTATAGATATCCAAATCCGAATCCGATGCTTTTGGATATCCGATCCGATAATCCGATCTGATCCATTTATTTATTTATTTATTGAGCTATAATTTTATATAAAATGAAATTTTTTTTTTCATTTTGTGTTTTCTTCATTCAAATTGAGACTAATCGGATCGCTACTTTCACAACTCTACACCCAAATCGTAACCAAATACATAACAAAAAAATTAAAATATTTAAAAATATTTTTATAAAATAGAGTTTGAATTTATTTTAATAAAATATTTTAAAATTTAAAAAATGAGAATCGTAATATTTTCAAATTAAAATATTTAAAAATATTCAAAAAAATTAAAAAATGCATAACATATTTAAATATGAAAATATTTAAAATCTTAAAAAAATAAAAATATTTTTAAAATATATAACCCACAAATGTAGTAAATACAGCATACATTAAAAAAATAAATAAATATTTACAATAAAAAATATTTATCCTAAAAAAATAAAATTAAGAAAATTTTTAAATATTTTAAAAAAATTAAACCCAAAAAAATTCAAAATACAATTCAAAACTTAAAATACAACTCAAAACTTTTTTCAAAAATCATAACCAAAAAAATTTTCTCTTTTCAAAACTTAAAATATAACTCAAAACTCAAATCATAATTCAAAAATTAAACCAAACAAAGTCTTAATTTTTTATAGTGCATATAAATTCATCGAATTGAATAGTTAGTTGTTCAAATTTAACTTAAAACTTTAATAAATTTATAAATATATCCAAGCTTAATTTTTTTATATAATGAGTCAATTTTAAATAATCTTTTAATGCACAGAAGAACGTGACTCAAACTCGAGTAATATGATTTGTCTAACCCAACTCTAATGTTGTGTTTGGTTGATGAATTTAGGAAGGAAGTTGAAAAGGAAAAGGGAAAAGATATTTCCTAAGTGAAATGTAAATATATTTTTTCACATTTCACCTAACTTTTTCCTTTTCGTTTTCAAATTTTTTCTCAAATTTCCACACCATACACAACATAAAGGGCTCTTTTGAAAAGTGAATTAGTAGTCAAAATTCAACTTTTAAATCACATAATCACATTATTTCTCATATTTTTTACACAATTTATTTTATAAAAAACCAAAAAAATTCAAAAAAATCAACTTTCACCTACCTTCCCGTTGTCGGCCAAAGACAACAAAGTTGTCACATATGCGCTACTTTTCTTTAAACACATTAAATGTGAGGGACAGAGAGAGTCATTTCTTCTTCTAATAGGACATTGACGATGAAAATGGACGTGGCCAGTTCACGTTTCTTTACCACCAAACAAGGAAAAGAAAATGTGAGGATGATAGTTACCAGTACACATTGGCATGCAAAGATTGAGATGTGAATACAATAAGCAGATAATCTTCTATCTCACCTCTTACATTATAGAGATAATTGTTGAGAAGTCCACAATCAACAGAGGATATAAAATAGGAAAATGACTCGTAGCTCGAATTCGGTGGCCCGAATTCGGCTTAAAACCTAAAACGACGTCGTTTTGAGTTTCGATTTTTTTTTTTTTTTTTCTTCTGCCTTTTCTTTCTCTTTCTTTTCTTTCTTTCTTTCTTTTTTTCTTCTTCGTTGAACACAAGAGGAGCAGAGGCGAGAGAAAAACAGAGTCGCCGTCGTCGTCGTCACAGCTCGTCGCTTGTCGGCCGATTGTCGCATCACAGCCCCGCCTCCGCCTCCGCCCGCCGCCGCCTTCGCCTCCGCCTCCGCCTCCGCCCAATTTTGTTGCCCCCTCCAGTCCACTTCTTCTTCTCCTTCTTCTTCCTCCTTCTCTTCTTCTTCTTCTCCTCTTTTGTTGCCCCCTCCAGTCCACTTCTTCTTCTCCTTCTTCTTCCTCCTTCTCTTCTTCTTCTTCTCCTCTTCTTCTTCTTCTCCGAATTCGAGCCAAATTCGAACCTCCAAATTCGAGCTACGAATCGGAACCGTATAAGATATTAAATTTAGTAGATATTTTTTTATTGGTGAGAAATTCACCATTTGTGAATAGTTTGATAAGAAATCATTTTGTTTATTTTGAAGAAAAATTTATTTCTAATTTTATCCTTTAATTATCTGTAAACTTTTTTTTGACTATCTATTCAAATTTATATCCATCTGTTTCAAATTATTTTGACTATCTGTTGAATTTTTTTCCTACATGTTCAAAATTTGTGAGTTTCTCTCTCTATTTGTCTAAAATCTGTTCGTTAAAATCTTTTCTTTTCTTTTTTCTATCTGTTGCAAAATAAATAAATAAAAATCAGATCATTACCATCAAAACCACAGACGACAACAATGACGACGACAACAAAAACAAAAAAAAAAAAATCCTCAAACATCTCTAACAAACTTTTTGTTTCATCTCTATCAATCTGCATATCAATTTTATTTTAGATAAAACTGACTGTTCCATTCTTCCCGGCCCACCACAGAGAGGTAAATATATCTACATCAAAACAATGGTAGAAAAAATCATGAAACACTATTATCACCTCGGTTCAATTACAGAGCTTCCAAAGACAAATGCAAACTACTATACACTATTATTGGCCAGCTAATCATAGAAGTTACAATCCCAAGAGTCATAAAACGAAATATAAAAAATCACTCCCTAGTCTATGAAATCCAAGCAACTACTATTAAGCACTAAAAATGTGTGATTTTATCATATATGAGTGTATGACCTGCTCCTGTTATTCCCTTCAGAGCATTCTAAAATAATGCATAGATTACAAGTTTATCAATTTTATCTGTTGCTTACAAATTAGTAAAATGCACAAACAACTATTCAACAGATCAAATATATACATATATTGCACTAAGGTATAATAGATCAGATCTATAGACATATATATATATATATAAGAGATTGACTGTTCCATTGGCTTGGTCCTAAGTGCAACGCCGTTGTATGGTGCTACTGGCACGGTGGTGCCATAGATGAAGGGGAAGAACTAAAATACCGTTGATTTGTTGTTGATCTGTGATGATCTTCGGGGAAGAAGACAAGGACGGGCGTCCGTGATATTTGTCAGTGGCAGCGGAGTAGGTGATGTTGCAAACAAGAACCTATCTCGACCAGTTCTTTCCATTACTGAATCTACTTCAACCAGATCTATCGCCATTTCCAAATCTCCAACTTTGCAGTGGATGAACGACCACCTCCGCCACCACAGCCACTGTAGTCGAGGAGGAAGGCAGTGGCGCCACCAGTGACAGTAGATTTTAGAGAGAGGAGAGCGAGGCCATTGGAGAAGAGATGATGGAGAAGAGAGATGTGGTTGTTGAGAGAGAGAGAGTGGTGGAACTGAGAGGAAAAACCGTGTATACGATATATATATATATATATGGATAGTTTGGACATTTTACACTAGCGTGTCCTCATAGACAAAGTATTTTAGCACCTAGATCTTTGGTCAAACAAAATTTAAATTTGAATTTATGAACCGAGTGCCCTATATTATATATCGACTAAATATAAATAAAAATTTAAATAAATAAATAAATAATCTTTTTGTTATCAATCCAAAAGTATCTTCAAAACACCAACTCAATACATATTCGAACCAATAAAAATAATAATCATAAGATGGATGAATCAATAAAACCGAACTCCAACTTTGACCAAACTTGGTAGAGCCTAGGTGAAAGATAAAATTGTTGGAAATTGGGTCGTGTTTAGAACCCATAACCGATTAAGTAGCCCATAGTAGTATAACCCAAAACCCATAACGAGAGACCCAATCAAAGTGAACTTGGATTTACTTATCTTGAAGATAAGTGTGATCAACTCACTATCTCATGGTTATACCACTTCCATATAATATACATATTATACGGTGAGAGTTAATTTAAACTGTATTTGATCAATCTCCGGTAGTCTTCTCTATTTTTTTTCTCCATAAAAATAGATAATAACTTTTGTACTGTGAATAGAGTGGGTAGTTCTCTAATAGTTCTACTCCACTGCTGGAAATTATTCGAAAACATTAATGAAAGCACGTGATTTACCCACATGATTCATGAATTCGGTTTGAGCGTAAAAAGTACGTCTAAATCCGTTTATTTCCACGGTGTATTATTTCTTATTTCTCCTACATCAATAACATCCATTCTCATGCGAATAAAGGGACTGAGTTTATTTTGATTCGCATACTATTTCCATCCCCTCATAAGTTATACCTAAGAAGCTAAAAAAATTAGTGCAAAGTCGGCTAATATCCTCTCATTTTCTTCACATTTAGAGAGATCTAAAACCCAACCTCATTCTGATCAACAAACTGAAACATAAAAAGGCTGTAACTGCAATCTATCCCGACTCACAGAGAAAGTCATTATGAAACACAAATCATTTAACATTATTGAAACACATGTCTCAAGCAGAATAATAAAAACAGATCTGATTGTAACAATAATTTTACAACAAACTTCTATTTCCTGAAAAATAAGAAAATCTCCTGCAGTACTTCAAGGAAATTATGAAATCTAGTTCATTCTCCTCACCACCTAGACCCTTTTTTTGTTTTTTGCATTCCTGAACTTTTCATAGTTAGTATATGGCCCAGGGTTGAGCAATCTAAATTGCATGCTCTAAATACCATACATCAAAGAAAAACTCAAGCTAGGAGAGAAACATATGAATGTACGTATGAGCAAATGTGAGAGATTGAACTCAACCTGGTGTCCTCATCTAAAGCCTGATTACCTCTTCCTACCACGAGGCCCAGAACCAGACCTTGGGCCAGGGTACTTTGAAAACTGTAGTCGCAAGTAGGCAGAATCCGGATCATGCTCATCCATCTTATAGCCTGTGCAATGCAAATACAAGTTAAAATCTCAAGTCATTTCAACCAACTCACTTGAGGTAATGCACTACATGTTGATAAAGCATGGACGCTCCAAAACAAGCGCTGTAGCAGTGTCAGACACGCCGGAGACATGGGACAAGTTGGACACGTATGGTCCCTTTATTTAATAAATTTTTTTCTGGGGATACACAAACTATTTATTTCCCCCTCTTCTTTAGTACTTTTGATAGTTGTCGGATGTTGAATGTCTATTACTTTTTGCTTAGATTGTAATGATGCATTGGATGATAACTTCATTATCTCAAGTTCACACTTACCGTTTTTGCCTTTTTTATAGATGATCTATTAATTATTTAAATTTTGTGTGTGTGCATGTGTGAACATAATATTAATTAACATAGCAAATACAAAGTGTTAGTTTCTATTAATTTTGATTATTTGTCAACATATATTAATTTACATAGCAAATAAAAAAATATTTTTTATTATTGTGTCTGTGCCTTTATTTTTTTGAAATCACCATGTCCCATGTCCGTGTCCTCATTTATTTATTTATTTTTGAAAAATCACATTGTCCAGTGTCCGTGTCGATGCTTCTTAGAGGATAACTAAAAATCACTATCTAAACACAATAGCTACATCTTGATAGACAACTAAAAGACGACCTAAACACAATCACTATCTTAACATACCCCCTTACAGTGACAGAGTAGCATACTACTACATTAACTCATATAACATGTATTCTACCATCTTTATGAACAATTCAGCGGAGACCGAAAAACTGTCAATATTATAAAGAAATTAGAAGGTGATCACCTTGCAAGGCACTCAAAGCAGTCGCTGCACAAGCTGGATTGGTGAAATCCACAAAACAAAGGGTAAGTGGGTCGCCACGCTGCAGAAAAGGTTGAGTTTTATTAATGAAAAGAACCACACTTTCAGACAGGTAAATGTCATTAATGATAAACAAAATAAAGCCAAGAAGCGCAATTAAGTGATATATAAAAATTCATTACAGACTTACATGTCTGGACTCCTTGCTCACAAGTCTTACTTCTTTATACCCCACAAAAGGACGAAAAATATCTAATGATGAGGTAAAAGAACGTCACCAAATCAAAAGGCAAATGTCAAAGATAATATGAAAATAATTGTCATTGACTTATCCAGAACTCCAAAATATTAAAGGATACGAGCTACTTCTCTCCTCTTGCTGTCAGGAGGAAGCCCCTCCACATATAGAGTATTGGAAGCATCTGGAGGGAGAGGCAGTGTCTCACGGGTCGGCCTGGGCATTGCATCCACTGGAAGACGACCATCAAAACCCATGCCTCGGGGATTTAGTGGATCCATGGGAAGCCGACCATCAAAACCCATGCCACGACCATCCAATCCAAGATCTGGACCAGCAGCCCCAGAACGACCCATTGCAGCAGGATCAGTTAATGGACGATCAAGCACTCCACCACCAGCCATCCTTCCTAACCCAACTCCGCCAAATTTACTAGCTTCTCCAGAAGAAAATGAGGTAAATTGCTACAAAAACAACAAAATGAATGTTTTAGAATACAAACAGGTAGATGCATGGTTGAGCAAAGGTTAACATTTGAAAGGCTACTGCATTCTGGAGATAGTTGTCATATGCTGATCCAATTGTTTTTGAGTCCTTTGAACCATGTGGTCCACCACGATCATCTCTTCCTAAATAGCTATGCATCTCATGAGCTGAGGGCACCAGAGAAGGTGGAAGATCTGCAATCAGTAAGAAAACAGACTTCAATTTCATTCAATAATATCTAGCTTTATAATGCAGTCTGTTGATGATAGATAAGTTTCTAATGGCTTTCAAAGAACAAAGTGAGATTCTTTTTATTTCCACTTTCAATAAACAGCTGACACAAAACAAATTTATGGGAGAAGAAAATGCAATTACAATGAGGAATCTGCAGTAACTCAATATAACAGTAAGAACCACTTTATGAGATCTAATTCAAAGAATAAAAGTAGGAGATTATCACATCTATGCCATAGCCATAAAAACAGCAGACAACGAAGATAATATTCAAAATCTATAAAGCAAAACGTAAAACATTGCACGATAAATAAAATAGCTAGTAGTAGTATGAGTTTTTTTTTTTTTTAAATATTCTAAAAAAAAAAAAACAATTTAGAGAATTGACCCACTTTTCAAACTATTTGGGAAACTAACCTGCTTTTTAAAATCGCATTTTGAAAATACAATTTTAAACTGAAATTGCATTTTCAACATGCAATTTCACCTTGCAATTGCATGTTGAAAATGCAATTTCAAAAAGTGAAGTCCATGTCATCATAAATTGCATTTTCAACATATGATTTCAAGGTGAAATTGCATGTTGAAAATGCAATTTTAATTTCAAAATCGCATTTTCAAAATGCGATTTCAAAAAGCAAGTTAGCTTCCCAAATAGTTTGAAAAGTTGATCAATTCTCTAAATTATTTCATTTTATTTTTTTGAATATTAAAAAAAAAAAAAAAACTCATAGTAGTACATCTTACAAGTCCAGGAAGGGTTTGACCAAGCAAAGTTTCAAAAAGTCACACAGATGGATGAGAGAGAACAAAAACTAGAAAGAGAGATTAAAATGCTGGTCTATCTTACATAGACTCATAAATGTAAGAAGTACCTGCGTCGGACACTTAACACTTGGGTAAGGATACAAAATTTGTATCCGACGTGTTATCAGGCACATACCTAACAAGCATATTTAGAAGAGACCACGTAACATAGAATTAAACTGATTCACAGCTACATTATCAAGACTAAAAATGTTTGGTTTAAGGATTTACCTCAAGATTCCTCATGGACTCTACAAAAATTATTCGACTTAAGGATCTTGGCGCAGCGTTTGATTAAATGTATAGTTGGGAGTGGTGCTGATACCTTTCTTTGGCTGGACAATTGGCAGCCAATAGGGCCCTCATATCAGCGTTTTGTGGAGAAGACAGTTAGAATTGTGGGTGGTGCTTTATTGGCAAAAATGGACTCTATTATACATAATGGCACTTGGAATTGGCCTAGGATCAGAAAGAGAGCAATTCAACCTGTTATAACACATACCCCTCTGAGCTTAAAGCCTAATGTTGTTGAAGATTCTATGACTTGGGTCCCTGCTACTAATGGTGATTTCTCAGTAAGGTCTGCTTGGAATGCCTATTAGAGAGGTAAGGGATACTGTTCCTTGGCATGATTTTGTCTGGTTTAACAAGTATGTTCCTTGATGGGCTTTTATTCAATGGTTGGTTTGTTGGAGCTGATTAGCAACTAAAGATCGATTACTAGTATGGGGATTGCATGTTGACCCTATATGTGTCTTGTGTCAGCAGTGTCTGGAAAGCCATCAACATCTGTTTTTTGAATGGGAGTATTCTAGAGTGATATGGGCTAGAATGCTTGATAGATTCCAAATAAGAAAAAGCCCTAGGCCTTGGGATCTTGAACTTGGATGGGTTGTGCAACATTTGACTAGGAAATCTTTTTACACTGATGTGTATAAACTGGGTTTTGCAGATACTATTTATCATATTTGGGCTGAAAGAAATGCCAGAATTTTCAGGGGAGGAGTCAGAGATTCTGGGACTGTGTTTCTTGCTCTAGAAAAAGATATCAGAGATTGTTTAAGTTCGTGGAAGCTGATTAAGAATACATATGAGAATCGGTTGACTTGCTTAACGTGGAATGGATCCACTAGGATATTGATAGGCCATAGAATAACTACTAATCAGGTTTGAGTTTAATAGGTGTTGTGTAGTTTGGTTGGTTTGTTTTGATTGCTTTTTATACCTATTTTGCGATTTTAGTTGTTGTTTAGAAGGGGTATGCCCCTTTTGTTAGCTGTATTGGCTTTGGTTTTCTGGAATAAGTTTCAATTTACCCCCCCAAAAAAAATAAAACATAGAATTAAACTTTAAAACCATATCAAATAGGGCAAAGAGCCAGCATCCAAAAAAGTATTCCATTTTTTTTTTTTCGGTACAATGTCTTGGTGTAAACACTTCTATTAATTTTTAATGAGGCAACTAGTGACAACCTCAAAGAGAGAAAGAAGGCAGTTAACGCCGCCTTGATGTTCAAGCTGAAAAATCCTTTCTTATTTTTTTTTTGGAAGGGTTAGCCCTTTAATATCATGTTAGAGAGGGAAGGCAACTAGATATCTCTGCCAATGTACTGCTCATATAAGTTATATGTATGGTTTTACTTTAGCATTGAACGAAGTCAATGATAAATCACCATAAGCTCTTTATATGCATGCTGCTCCCGGTGGATGCAGTGACTTTTCCTTTTTTCCTATTACGGGTGTTCAATCATGTTATATGGGTCATACAAATGGGAGGTCAATGCTAATATATCACCATAAGCTCTCATCAACTGAAAACCTTGCATTACTCAGGAGTTTCTCAAAAAGTGTTTTAAGTGGAGCATCTAATTCATGGCTGAGTTGAAATGACTGAAATTATACAGTTTATAAGCAGGTGGTTTTAGAGTAAAAGAGCGAGAGAAGAATTGACAGACATGATGAGTTGTGGTTGTGGTATAGACTACAGAGACAAAATTGGAGGAAAAGAATAAAAGGAATATTGTCTTTTTGCAAAAACTGTTAACAGTTAGAATTTGCACTTTAATGGGTTATGCTTGACTTTTGAACCATATGATGAGAGGTGTTTTGGGGCCAAACCACATGAGATGGTGTAATTACCCCAAAATTAAAAACTTCCTGTTGGAACTAATAATAAAAGCACTTCCAAATCATCACTACATTACCATAGCACAAAAAGGATTCAAACCTAGTATATTCACTAGTCTAATAAAAATGATTACATTAGATTGCAAAACTAAAATATCAGGCTCTTATTTGGTAAATTTGTCATTCTAAAGTCAGAGGATATGGTTTTTAGAGATTTCAAGTGGCATCAACCCCCAGCCTTGTGGCGTGGGTTCGAGTCACAGGAATCATTCTCTCCACTAAAAAGTCAGGGGAATGTTGTCTACCAAAACTCTGTTGTACGTCGGAGCCTATGTCAGAAGGGTTATGTTACGATATACTGAAGACTTTCATACTAACAAGTAACAACATATACACACATATACTCATATAAAGATTATATTTTTTTTTTTGTTTTTTTTTTTTTTTTTTAAAAATATAAAAAAATCAAAAATTTTAATTTTAATTTTTAACTAATTTTCTAAAACAAATTTAGGAATTGTTTGGAAAGTAATAGATTCGATGTCCTTCCATACAATTTTCCTATTCACAATTTTTTCAAAAAGTCAATTTATACAGCCAACACAAACCAATTGAATGCGGCACACACCACTCCACTACTCGCATCAAAACAATTATATACATGTGTGTGCATGTATGTATAGAAGAAATTCAATATCAAAATCAAGAATTGCCAATTTTACCATAGTCAGTGCGAGGTCGCTTGAACATCCCAGCGGAAGGATGCATAGGCTGTTGTCGATTCCAGTATCCATCCCCCATTTCCTCTGCCAAACACTAACCTAGTTTATATATATATAGATACACAAATGCACATACAGAGAGAGAGAGAGAGAGAGAGAGAGAGAGAAACCCTAGCTCGGCTCAGACCAGGCCTGCGAACTGTTTGGAGATCGCTCTTTTGTCTCTCCCAGACCTTTTTATTAGTTTGGAGTACTGAAATATCATTTAGGACTCGTTTTGTTTTTGTCTAAAAGTAAAAAAAATTATTAAAAAAATTAAAAAATTTATAATCTAAATCAAAAGTTAAAGTTTTTTTTTTTATTTTTTGTACATCTTTTTATAAAAAATTAAAAAAATATTTCAAACATACTAAGTTTTTTATTTCATATTTTAATTAAAAAATTATTAAAATAGCATGTTATCAAACGAGGCATTAATATGTTAAAATTATAAGATTTGTATCAATTTATACCGCTAATCACAAATTAAATTTTAAAAGTTGTAATTTATTTTTAAAATTATTCCGTTTGGCTATAATATATATATATATATATATTCATTTTGTGGAATTGTATTGAAAAGAGGATTGAGAATTTTGATCACAATAGTATATTGTGTGAAACAATTAAATATGGAAGTAATGTTGTATTGCATTAATATTATATAAATTAGTATTATATATTATATAAATACTTGATAATTGATTAGAATATTTTTTAATCCATTAATTTATTTAAAATCACTCAAATCAATTATAATTTTACTTTCAAAGAATCGCATCCCTACTCACTAATTTGGAGAGAGCGAATGAGAGCTTATTTGTCAATTATAAATTTTAGTTAAAAAATTAAAAAATTATCATAATTTGTCGCATTATATTTTTTACTTTCTATATATATATATTTTTTATAAAATTATTAAAATAAGTTGAGATTGATTGGGGAAAGGTTCGGACTCCGAACGAGTCAGGGTTCCTATTTGGTACACGTGTTATTGCAGGAGGAAACAACATATTTGCTGTACTTGGCCAATCGTATCACGCCACGTACACGGCAGGCTTGTTTCTCATTCAGCCTAATCCAATGGGCCTTATGTTTGTTTTTTTTTATATGGATCTTGAAGTCGGCCAAATTGAATTGGAATATGGGGCCCGTAGGACTGGGCGGGCCGAGCTTGTGGACGTCCCTGGGCTACATGGTTTCTACGGTAATTTAACATTCTTTGCAAGGGTTCTAAATTATACTGTTAGTTCTTATATTTTGACTATTATTTCATTTTGTTTTCTATAATTTTAATTTGACTCAATTTCAACAATAAATTTTTTACTTTGTCTCAATTGGTCTAATCAATTTCAATTGTTAGCATTTTTTATGACAAATGAGTACATGAACGACATAAGTACCGCATTTAAACTGCAATATACAACACATTTAATTACCCAATTAACATTCTTATATCAAACTTAACTGACAAGCTTGGCTTTCCTAAACCATCATTAGGTGAATAGCAAATCACATTATCATTTATGATGATGAAAAAATACCCAATATGGAGGCTTTGTGTAATGCTGCAAGCCTAAAGTGGATGAAAATACATTTAGGTTGATTTTGAATTTGTGGAGAGAAAAGAAAAGGATAGAAAAAGAAAACAAAGTAGAAGATAAAAAAATATCTCATTTTTAATTGGGAGCTTTTTTGATAAATCTATTTTCTAGGAGTTTTATTCCATTCAACCCATATTCTTTTTGACTATTCCATTAGGTCCAATTTGAGATAAAAGACCAAAATACCCTTTTCATCTACTTATATTCCATTTAGTTCACATTATTTTCTTATATTTCAATAAGTCCTATGGGTGACATAATTACCAAAATACCCTTAATGTGAATGTTCACACTGTCAATATAAATGTTTATATCGTCAATGTGTTGGGGCCCGGCTCATGTCGATCCTCGTGGGTGCCCGGAAAAATTCGAGTTGGGCCGGGCTGGCCCACAAGCCAAAAAAATAGGCCCGACCCGGCCCGTTGATAATATGAATATTCACATTGACAAGTTAACATTCACATTGATAGGAGTGTAAAATTGGCCTGCGGCCCGTGGGCGACCCGAAACCAGCCCGTCGCTCGGGGCGGGCCCGGGCCGGCCCGTTCACAATATGAATATTCACATTGACATATTAACATTAACATTGACAAGACTGTAAAATTGGCCCATGACCCGTGGGCAACCCGAAGCCCAGGCCTGAGCCCGAGTTGGGGTGGGCCCGGCCCGGCCCGTTGACAATGTGAATATTCACATTGACATATTAACATTAATTAGTGCTATTAGTGATCTTTTTTTTAGTGATATGAATCATTGTTGTTATTAAAAAGTTACGAGTGAAATACTAATCAGTGTTTTTGCATCCTTAGATATATTCATCGGTTGCATTTCTCAAACATGCAAACATTTTCTAAAGGGAAAATATCACATCAGTTCTATTTGGAAAAAATAATTATCAATAAGTGATAAATTTTATGATATTAATAATTAAAATTATAATTTTTTTTATAAATTGATAATCATTTTCTTACAATTTGTGTAATTTTCTTTTGTGCATTAATTTAGGGAGAGACTCGTATTATGTAATCTTTTGAGATTAAATCAATAAAATAAAAATAAAAAATAAAAATACGAGTAATCTTAAGAAGGCGTTTGTCTATTCTATGCATAATTTTAGGGGTAGCATATATCGTTATCAACTAATTATATATATATATATATATATATATCAAAGACAGACAAATTTTTTTTTTTTTTTAAAAAAAAAAAAAACCAAATGTTAAATATGTAATATTGAATATATAGAAAATTATATATGTGAATTTTCATACTATTATTATCAAATAGGACAAAATAAAAGCCATTTATATATGTTTTTGTCATAAATTACCATATATTAATGTAGAAGAAAATATGAAAAATGGTTTAAAGAATTGGGCGATAACGTGCAAGACTCCTTAGGTCATAGAATTAGGTATCTTAGAGAATGGATAGAATAAGAATGCTTAAAAATGAAACAAAGAAGAAAAATAAAAAAATAATATTTACATTATTGGCAATCAACTAATTCATGGGGTTGTGAACCTTAAAGAAAGAAAACATATTACAAGAAAAAGAAAATGTTTTATAAAAAGAAAAGTTTTAATAAACAATGAGGAGAAAAATATTAAAGAAAATATTATTAAAAAAACCTTTTAATTTTAGTAAACGAAGAAGATTGTTTAGGAAAAATAATTATTGCCCAGAAGGTAAAATGGCTTGTATATATTGGGCGTGTGGTAAAGTAAGGCATTATGCAAATCAATGTAAAAATAAAAAGAAAGATAAAATAATAGAAGCCTTAGGAAATTTAGATTATATTGAACTAAAGAAGAAGAAGCATTAAAATTAGTATTAGAAAATATTAAAGGGATAGTAGAAATAATTGAGGAAGAAATAGAAGCAGATGATGAAATTAAAAGTGAAGATTATAATAATTCTGATGAAGAATAAACTTTATGATGACTGAAAATAAGCATAGGAGAATTAAGAGGAGAACAATTCGTAATAGAAGATTCTCAGGGAAAAAATGAGGAAGTAAAGATTGGATATTATTGATAATATATAAAGAAGAAATATATCAAAAATCAATTTTTTATTTAAAAAGTAAATATATAGAAGGATACTTAGAAATTAGATATTGTGAATATGATATGAAATATATAAATTTAATAAATTATGGAAATATATTAAGACATAATAAAGAAGGTAAATATCGATCTCTACATCGATATCTACATATAGGTAATATACAAATACAAATTACGCCATTATTTAATAAACGACAAAACATATATATATATATATATATGCATTTCTATGTGATATTAGATAAAGAAATTTCGAAAGATTGATAATTAGTAGAATAAAAAGTAATTTATGTAGAGGATCAGTAGGATTCAATTGTAGACCTGGATATTATGTTAGTTTAAAAGATGGGTTTGTTACTGGGCCGCAGGCGGGTTTCGTGCCGCCACGGGACGGGGGCCAATTTTACACTCCTGTTAATGTGAATGTTGACATGTCAATGTGAATATTCACATTGTCAACGGGCAGAACCGGGCCGGCCCCGGGCCGCCCATGGGCCGCGGGTGGGTTTCGCATCGCCACGGGACGGGGCCAATTTTACACTCCTATTAATATGAATTTTAACATGTCAATTTGAATATTCACATTGTCAATGGGCCGGGCCCGCCCTGGCTCACGGGCGGGTTTCGAGCCGCCCACGGGCCAATTTACATTCCTATAAATGTGAATTTTAAAATATAAATGTTCACATCATTAAATTGCTAATCGTTGAAAAAATATTTATAAGGGTATCAAAATTAAATATAAGGGCATAAGTGTCCAAGAAAATAGTGTAAATCAAGAAAATGGACTTCATGGAATAAAACTATACATACATGGGACTAAATGGGTTAAAAAATTTCTTCATGGACTTCTTGGGTTAAAACACTTCTAAATTGGACTTATCAATAAAAACCCCTTTTTAATTGGATTAGAAAAATGAAAAGAAAATACATATGTATTAATGGAAAAAATAATCTATATTTTTGTTTAGTTGCTTCTAAACAAATAAATATGTATAATAAATTCTATTTTCCTTTAATTTATATTATCTTTGATAAACTTAAGATTCAAACGTAACCTTAATCAACAAAGAAAAAAGGGCATTTGTGTCGAGAAAAATTCAGACAAGCATCATGGAACACAATGGAAGGCTTTTTTGTTTGGTTGCCCTAACTAGACATAGTCTCCAACTTTGTCTAAATTGACAACTAGAAAGAACTAGCATTCAAGTTTTTTAGAGTGGTCCTATTCGATGGGTTTCAATAGCTCACTAGACCTTTTTGTTGTAGTTGCTTTGGCTTTGTTCTATGTTTAGTATGGGTGTGGGAATCTATTTTCTTTTCCATTGAATGAAATATCATTTTCAAAGGAAAAGAAACAAAAGAAAAAACAAAAAGTGAAAGAGTTGAAAAAGTGAGAAAAATATTTTTGTCTTGGAAAATTTCACTAATGTGCTCTTGCTCATTGGTATCTATAACCATTTTTTTCTTTTTCCACCACTTGAAGCAAGAATCAAATATTTTATTTTTTCTATTTAGATTTTTGAAAGTTAATAAGATATGAATATCAAGTGGTTTAGTTGGCATAATG